GAGGAAAGGGGCAGACAGAGGTCTGAAGAGAGCAGGAGGTGCTCCCCACCAGGTGAAGAGCCTCCTGGGCAGAGGCAAACCTATATGAGTCTTGGGCAAAGGAAGGGGACTGGACCCAAGTGGAGGAGAGCCATCAGGGGCAGAGCAGGGAGGACTGGTCAGAGGGAGCAATGGGGCACAGGCAGGGTCCGGGAAAGGGAGCCCAGAGCAGGGCTGTGCTCCTGCCCAGGGTGAGTGGCTCCTCCTCTTTCAGGGGACAAACGCTTCGAGTGCGCCCAGTGTCAGAAGCGCTTCATGCGGAGTGACCACCTCACCAAGCATTACAAGACCCACCTGGTCACGAAGAACTTGTAAGGCCCCGAAGACACAGCCCCCAGTCAGCGTCCTGTCTGGGCCCCTGGCAGAAAGGTGGCCCCTGGCCCTCTGGGCCCTCGCTCAGCCCTCCCTCTAGTCCTGCGACTGTGGCCCACAGGAAGGGCTCTGCTGCCCCCATCCCCTCCTCCTGAAGCCCCCTGCCTCCGGCCCAGCCCTGCCCTCCCCACCACAAGCTCCCGGCCCATGGCCGTGCCCAATGAGACGTTCTAAACCAGGACGAGTGGGACCCCTTATTTCCAAAGGAAAAACCGTGAATTTCACTCCCTCGAGGAGCAAAGTGAGCCCCCCCGCCACCCGATCCCCTCCTTTTCCCAACACTGTCTGGGTGACCTAGAGCCTGAGTCGCCCTGTGCCATGCCCCGCCCTGCCCCTCCCCTGTGCCTCCCTAGCCCCACCAGACAAGGCGGTCACCCCGGGCCCCGCACCCCCAGTTCCCCCTGGCACCCCCCTCTGGGGAGACTCCGGAGGCCGCCTCCACTCCACACGCCCCCAGCCCCTGCCACAACTCCTCCAGCACATTCCAACTTTCTATTTAAAACATAAAGACCCCCATGGACTCCTCCCGTTTTTCTACGGAGAACGTTGCCTTATACTCTCTTTGATGAACACTGTGTACTGTGTGCGCTTGACAGAGTTAGTTTAACGCTCCCCTCCGCTCCCCGTTGAGGGCTGGGCTCTTCACTTCCTCACTTGCAATTCTCATTTGTCAGCCACTCAGCATTTCGACTCTGGACTCTGATCAGAACGCTCTCACACACTGACCCGCCTCCCTTGCCCTCGCTCCACTGTGTACAGTGTATATTGTATAATAGGCAATTGTGTCTACTACATGTTTTAAAAACATATTGCTTGTTATTTTTGAGGCTTTTAAATTAAACAAAAAATCCAATTTATTTTTAGTTGTAACTGCTTGAGGTATGTTTTTTTTTTTTTTTTGAGGTATGTTTTATGAATTAAGTGACAGATTTGTCATCCTTTTATCGATGTACTTTGTTGGTCAGCACTGAGCTGACAAAAATTTTTTTCCTTGCTAATAAATGTAGTTGCCTGAGGCAAGTCTGCAAGCTGGCAGTGCGGCTCCCTTGGCTCCCTTTGTCTTCTCCGGAGAGCCGCATGGGGCTCGCAGGAGGGCCGCTTGGTCTCGCAGAGCCAGCCAGCAACACTCCCACCGTGGCCAGGCCCCAGCCCGGAGCCACAGCGCCCTGGACTGCCTGCCTGGGCTGAGCCCCCAGAGCTCCTGTCGGCACCTCAGCGGCAGGGCCCACTGCACGGTCTCCGCTTTTGCTCCTGTTTTACCCGCTCAGGGCCCCTCAGGCAGGAGCCGGGGCAAAGGAGCCACAGGGTCTTGGCTCCATTACTTCCGGGAGACTGCAGGAAAAGGCTGTTCCCCGTGGACCCCCGTTGTCCCAAGGAGGAGGGCAGTGGGCCGGTGGTTTCAGTTAAGGGTCACCCCCGTTGTCCCAAGGAGGAGGGCAGTGGGCCGGTGGTTTCAGTTAAGGGTCGGGTGGGGATTCTTTCTTCTCGCTCTGGCAGGGTCTAGTAGGAAGTGGGAGCCTGGCGGCTTAGTGCTCACACGTCGGCCTCTCACCACCAGGCCAGTTGGGAACCACCAGCCGCTCTGAGGGAGGAAGATGAGGCTTTGAACTCTGGAAAGAGTGACCATTTCAGAAACCCCCGGGGGAAGTTGTATGGTGGCACGGATGGCTAAGTGCTTGAGGACTAACCAAAAGGTAGGTGGTCTGAAGCCACCTGGAAGGGAGTCCAGAGACAGGCTTGGCAGTCTGCTGCTGAACGGTCGCAGCCCCGAAGCCCTGGGCTGGACCACGGGAACCAGGTGCTAGCCTCATTTGCTGACCACGGGGCGCTACTGTTGGTAGGTTGTGTCCAGTCAGCTCCCACTCACACCACCAGGACATACGAGCGAAGGGACCACTGGCCACCCCAGAACTGTGGGTCTTCAGGGGTTGCCCTGTTCTGCAGTGGTTACTAGTGCTAGTTCAGTGCCCTGGCTTGGTGACACTCTGGCTCATGTACACTGGACCTATCAGGAGAGCCCAGCCTCTGGAGGAGGACCTCATGCTTGGTCAAGTGGAGGGGCAGTGGAAAAGAGGACAGCCCTCCACGTGGCTGCCACGTGGACGGAAACAAGACCGGCTGGCCCAGGCCCAGGTGGCGTTCATTCTGCTGCTGGGATTCCTCTGAGACGGAACAGCATCTGGACCGCAGGGAGAGGCGCTGCGTCCCTGCTGGCGGTGGTGGTGCAGGCCCGCTAGGAGATGCCAACCCACAGTGAGCCCGAGTGCAACCGGACGGAGCCCTGCTCAGACCAGTCCTGTCAGCCTCACCACGGCGGCTGTATTTGAGCCCACTGTTACCGCCGCCGTGTCAATCGTCTTGAATCCTTTTTTTTTTTTTTGCTGACACTCTACCAAGCGTGGCATCCTTCCCTAGGGACCGATCCAAAGTCCATGCAGTGACGTCTCGCCATCCTTGCTTCCAAGGACCATCCGATCCTGGCTGTACTTCTTCCAGGGCAGCTTGGTTCGTTCTCCTGGCAGCCGGAGGTCTATTTGATCTTCTCTGTCGACACATAACGGGAAGACATCAGTTCTTCTGGGGTCACCCCTAGTCATCTTCCAGCTTCCACGTGCACCCGAGGCTCGGAAGTGACTGCACTTTAAACATTTGTCCAACGCAGGGCGTTGTTTGACTTCCTGACGGCTGTTTCTGTGGGCGTCGGTGGTGGTCCAGGCCAAAGGGAATCCTTGGCAACGTCAATCCTGCGTGCGTATCCTGACGTTGCTTCTTGGTCCTTGTCTTTATGTGGAAAGTGTAAGCGGAGGCTGTCCTCTTGGGTCTTCACCAGCAAGTGCTTTGCGGCCTCTTCCTTGTCGGCAGGCGCGAGCATCCGCGCTTCCCTTCTTCAGCTTCTTACTCGCCCCAAAGGCACAGGTGCTTCATCCCTCCACGGGCAGGAAGGCAGGGACCCCGCTCTATTCCTCGGTCACGGTCACGGTGGCAGGGCTGGAACACCGCCTGGCCATGTTTTGTTTTTCAAACCACTTCATTTGTTAATGTACATCACAAAAACTCACCCAACTCCGATTTGTTTCTCCCTCTACATTTCAGCGACGTTGACGACATTCTTCCAGTTGTGCCCCCGCCACCCTTGGCTTCCTTTTCGGAGTGGTTCCTCCCTCTTGGTAAATTCATGGCCCTCTGAGGCTCTCCTAGGGAATCTTTCAAGTTGCCGCTATCAGTTTGATCCGTAAAAGAACTTAATGCTTCAGGCAGGTATTTTTTATGAGTTAAAAGTATCGTTCAGTGTTAAGACTCAGAAGTCTTTGGGGTTAAAGATGATCCTTTGGGGAGTCTAGCCAACCTCCATGACTCCAATTTTTCCCCCGGAATGTTCTTTTTTTGTTCTGCTTTACCCACACCCACCCCCGCCCTGCCCTGTTGGATCAGGGGTCTTTTATAGAATGTTTGATCCTAAGGCCCAGTAGTGGTTGGCCAGGCTTTTCCGAATCAGAGATTTCGGAGAAAAGGGGGATGTTTACAAGCTGACCTCTTTCCCCTGACTCTGCTCTCCTGCTCCAAGAATTGTCCTTTCCTGGGGGCTGATCCCAAGTCACGTGCTTCATGCTCCAAGTGGAGGCTGACCTCAGGATGAATAGCTGGAAGTGAATGGAGGTCCAGCGGCCGGCTGGTCAGACAGGGCCAGCTGCCACACCAGGATCTCCCTTCTCCAGGGGGACTCATGAGCTCAAAGAGACGGCTCTACCCCTTGAAGGGAGCCTGAGCCAGAAAGGGGCGTGAGAACATGGTCTGCCCAGCTCCTTGAAGGCACCAGGAACAGATGGAAGCCCCTCAAAACTGCGGAGCAAATTGGCCCTTATCTTCAATCTACCTTTGTCTAAGAGTTGCAAGGGCTTTGGGGTGGGGGGTAGGGGGAGAAAGAGGTAAGGAGGCTGTTAGGATGCAGCCCAAGCTTGCCTTAGGTAACGGGGCTCCGCAGGACACCTGGTTGGGGCTTATCCTTCCAGCCTGTCATTTAAAGGGCATGTGGTTGAAAACTGGGGTAGGTACCTGTAGCAGCCTGGGTGTGTATGGGGGGTTCCCCCTTTCCATTCAGGAATCCTCCCCCTTCCCACCCAGGACCATGAGCTCCAATGGCCACTCCTCACCACCCCTCCGTTCTGCTCAACTAATGCTAAGCGCTGAGCTGGTAATCGCAGTAATCGCGGTAATCCGAGGGCTGGGGAAAGATCCCCCTCCTGACTGCAAATCCAAGCTAAGTACCTTAAAAAAAAACAACTCCCTCCCCACAAGCAGGATTTAGCCTTTCTTCAAGAACTCATCCATCTTCGTCCTTTGATTGCCTTTACCAGGCTCCTCCTAAGGCTGCCAACAGTGCTAAGGTTACAGCCAGCCACACACACTGAAGAGATGCTGGGCTCAGACAACACGTCAGAGCCCTGGGGTGCGTGGCATGGTCCCTGAGCCAGTGTAGCTCTGTCCTAAAGGACCGAGAACTCAGACTGGAAACATTGATCGGAGGATTATTGTGTTCTGGAGAATACTGCAGCTGCCTGTCTGCCTCCTCAACCCTGGTCTGTTCTCAGTGCTTCATCACTGGGGCTTTCCTGAGCAGTGGGCTGGGCTCAGCCCACAGGGGTCCCTCCCTCTGCTCTCCCTGCTTCCAGAGGCCTGTCTCCAGGCCCACTGCCATCTGGGCCCTGGGTCCTTGCCAGCTCTCACCCTTGGGTGAAACCCTAGCCCACTGCAAACTCAGGGGCCTGGAGGGCAACTGTTTTCAACCATGAGGACTATTAGGGCTAAGAATGTCGAAGGAGTGTGGGACTCCCAAAATGGGGTCCACAGCCCCATCAGAAGAGTGCCCCCACTCAGCTTTAGCCAGCTGGTGCCAAGCAAGGCTGCCAGACCTGAGTTGTGTGGGAAACTGAAGATGTGGAATTTTATGGAAAATATCCCCACCTTTGAGTGCCGATTCAAATCACAGCAGGGCCTTTCTCTGCCCTCGGGCAGTGTATGACACCCGCATGGACCACCCCCTTCCAGGCCACTGGAGGCCCTGGTGATGCAAACAGGTAAGCACTCAGCAGCTTACCAAAGGCCGGAGGCTCAAATCCACCTTGAGGTGTCTTGGGAGATAGGCTTAGAGATCTCCTTCTGAAAACCAAGCTCTTAAAAACCTGGAGCACCATGGAGCCGTCCTGAGTGGGCATGGGTCCCAGTGTCTCAGCTGTAGTACTGCCACTCTCCCCTTCTCCTTAATGCCCCTCAGTCAGTCTCTTCCATCAGGGCAGGCACCAGAGACCTAAATTGGTATCCCCAGGCCAGGCCTACCCACTAAGCCCCAGACTCCATCCTAACCAAAGGTGGGTGTCCCATAAACCTTCACCCTCAGGAGTGTGGGAAACAGAACCAGGAAGAGGGTGTATGGATAAATTCTCTACACTCGTACACTAAGGAGTCTGGGAGGCCAGGCTCCCGTGGAGGGAACCTTCAAGTTCGTCGGTTGGAGATGCATCCCTCTCCCCTTCTCCTAAGTAAAAGTTATTCCCCAGGATGTCCCCTGTAAGAGTGCCAATCTTAAGGTGCTTGCAAACACGTGGTTACTGCATGAAGGTCAACTGCTTGAAGGCTACTTGCTTGAAGGTTGTCTGCCACCAAGAGCAATCAGATCCTATTGTCTGTCCCACCCTAGGCAGGGCCCCTCCCTTCTAATAAGGGTCATAGATTATTCCCCTGGAGAAAAACTCAGACACCCAAGGTCAAGCCAGCTCAGAGAGGACTAAGGTTAGGCCACCATCCTAACCTGAGCCCGTACATCTTGTTACACAAATACCTTCCTGTCACGTGTATGCTTCTAGTACAGCGGTTCTCAACCTGTGAGTCTCGACCCTTTGGGGTTTGAACGACCCTTTCACAGGGGTCGCCCGATTCATAACGGTAGCAAAATTACAGTATTGAAGTAGCAACGAGAATAATTTTCTGGTTGGGGTCACCACCACATGAGGAACTGTATTCAAAGGTCCGCCACTAGGAAGTTGAGAACCACTGCTCTAGTATTTCCGCTTCCTGTTACATATGTGCTTACTGTGGCTTGCAGGCCTGAGATCATATAAGCTCATAAGAGAATACATTACTGTCTCATTCTGGTTCCGGTCGCCTTTGCATGCCTTGTCTAATGTCGCTTTAATTTACCCTTTGATTACACAACTGCCCCTTGGACTCATTCTGTTGTGGGGAGGCTGGTCCCCGCCACAGGAGGTTGATCATGAATTCAGCTCATTCTCCAAACCTCCTCCAACCCGCCCCACTTCAGTGCCCAGCACCATCTGAGTCACCTAAAGCTAGCCTTGAGTAAGCCAACTGCCACCTCCCCATACCGCCTCAATCCAGCCCACCAGCCCCACCCCAGCTTCCACACAAACAGGACAGTGTCCCTACACCTGCCACCACCCTCCCCAACCACCACCAGTCTAGTCTGTGTCCCTCGCCAGAGCCAGGACCCAGACCCAAGTCTAATCACTAAAACACATCACAGAATTACTGAATTAAATAACTGGATAAAAGGTGCCTTAAGATCATATGTGCCAACACATCAGAAGGAAGCAGGTAAGGTGTCATCCCTGACCCCACACACAGTCTGTCTGTTCCACATGGACAGACCACAGCCGTAGAGCAGCACAACATTGCAAGCAGTGCATTCATTCATTCATTCGAGGTACATTCTCACAAAAATGTAATTTCATAGAGATGAGGGGAGGTGGCAAAGTGCTTCAGGTAAACCAGACACAGAAAATGCCTTTCTCCGTCCTGATAAACTCGGGGTGGAGGGGTGCTGCTGCATCAGAGACAGCAGCAGCAGCAGCAGCAGCCAGGGACTTGTCCCCCAGCTGGTGGTTTACACTGCAGGCGGTTCTGTGATCCAGGTACCAAAACGGTCTGGGCAGAGCAGCACATCACCAGCCCAGTTACTGTCCTCAAGACAAAGTGGGGACGATAAAAAGGCCATCAGTCCTCACTATTTGCCAACCGAACCGAGAGGTGGGGGGAAGGAACCCAGTCCTGTTCTCCTCCACGGAGGTCTTTAAAAGACAAGCGCTCGCGCCACGCTCTGGCCCGGCCATCAAGACAACCAAACAAACCTACTACCAAGGGGTCAGTCCCCACTCCTGGCCAGCCCATGTGGTGCAGGAATGCTCCACAGGGGGGTTTCCTTGACTTCCCTGGTGCGGAGTGGGGGGGGCAGGGGTTGGGGCCAGTTCCAATCCACTGCGGGTCAGAGTGGACTGAGGCAGTGGGTTGGACTGGTTTGGGAATCACCTTGACAAAAGCTCATCCCTAGGCCTTGTCTTCTGTGAACTACCTACCTTGAGGTCAGCAGTTGATCACACATGGTTACAGGGATCCTACGGCTCAATAAGATTTGCAAGATGTGATCAACCGCTGAACAGAATCTTTACGTTGAGAAGTCTGCCCTGACCACCTGCCTGGTATCTTCAGCCAGGGACGACAGGCCCGTTTCCTCGCTACCCTGCCCCAACCCTCCCCGCTTCCCGAGGACCCTGGTGGCCTGGCCTCGTCTTGTTCCTGCTTCTTAGAATTCTCTCTCTCTTTACAAAACCTTCCCTGTTCGACCCCTGAGACCACATCCCACTTTGTGTTCCCCTCCAGTCTATCCACTCTACTCAAGTACCTGCAGCTCTTTGGCTTGCCGATATGCCTCCCCCTAAAGCCTGCGCCCCACCCCCACCCCCCGCAGAAGCTATGCCATCGTCACCAGTATTCCCAGACTCAGCTCACCGCCCAGTCCATAAAAAAGCCTTAACAAGAGTTCTACCAAAAGATTATCAAAAAGGCCCGGCTTACTGGTCAGATGAGAGGCTGGTGGGATCCCCAAGTCTATGGCCCACACTCACTGCCTGGAACTGAACTCAACCTGCATTAGACTAATCCCTCACTTAGGATCAAAAAGGGCAAAGGCTAGGGGTTAAGAAAGCATGGAGAATGGAAATGATGTAGAATAAGCAAGGGAGTTGCAATGGACGTCGTGTTAAAACCATGCATGAACTGTTGCATGTAAAACTAAAAAAAAAAAATGTAAACCCTCACTTAGTTCACACTAAAAAACTAAAAAATGACTTTATCAAACTAGAAATAATAATAATAAAGCCATCAAGTAAAAGCCTATGTCACTATACTGGGCTCTTGCCATTTCAGCAAACCTCGGACTCTTGGTCTAATGGCTGGTGCCCGAGAACCAAGGTCTGGGTCAACAGTAGTCCAGCGATGCTCAGAGAGCACCCTCCCTGGACAAAACTGTCTGCCTTAGAGGGTGCTGATTCATGGGCACAGAGTGGAGATGGTGGAGAAGACACCAAGGTGGAAAGTCACCCTCAAAAAGAATGGTAAATCCACTCTCCCTCACTCGTGCTGATGGAGGAAAATGATGGCAGCCCAGAAAGCTCCAACCAGCGGATCAGCATCATTAAGCTTTGAGATCTATCTTATTTCCTTGCAGCAAATTTGTTTCCCAGGTTCTAGTTGGCTCAAGCTTTGCAAACATAATGAAGGATGATAGGTGTCTAATGTGAGGCTTTAAAAAGCTTAGCTGGAATGCAAACACCTGGGCAGGGCAGGAAGTTCCCCTTACCTGGCACAGTCCTGGGGTGCCTGCTTAGATGGCTCTGGCAGCTCCCCTTCCTGGTGTTGTTGGAAACGGAGGCTACAGAAGGTCCAACCAAGGCAAAGCTGAAATGGCTGCTGGCAGGTGTCCCATCTCAGCCCTGCATCCACAGCCCAGAAATGGCTTTGCGCAGCCACCCGCTCCCCTACACCCTCAGCCACGTCGGGTACGGCTGGACCTTCCTAGTTACTAGGAGGAAAGAAGGGAGACCGCACAGGCAGGGGAGACCGGCCAGAGGGTTGGGGGGCGATGGTAACTTTACCCAAACTTTGTCAAAGAGCCCAGGTGGCTGTGTCTGGTAGGCATTGGGTGATAACTGCAAGGTCCAGAGTTCAAACCCATCAGGCTCTCTGCAGGAGAAAGCCCAGGCTGTGTGCTCCGGTGAAGTTTTACAATGTAGGAAATCCGATGAGTCGAAATCGACTCAATGACGGGGGTTAGTGTCAATTGCAGCGCTCAGTGAAAGGGCTAAGCATGGCCCGACCCATCCTGGTGAGGTTAAAGAGAGGGCTTGGAGCGGGAGCGGGATCTTGAGTCCAAGTCTCCCTCTCCCAGCTCCCTACTCCGCCTTCTTCCTTCTCATCGCACCTCTCCCGGTCCCCGAGTATCCGCTCCTCCCCCTACTAACTAGCCAGCACTCATCCAGTGCGCCCCTCAAGTCATTGCCATCTGTCCCTCTCCCAACGCCGGATTTCCTCTCCCAACCTTCCTCGGTGTCTCCCCGGGCGCCAGCTTCCCGAAACTTGCCTGCAGGCAATTTCGCGGCCCCGCCCCCGCCCCCGGCCTGGGCCCCTGCAGCCCCTGCCCCTTCCACACGTGCGCGACCACGGCGGTGACCGCAGTTCCGAGTCGCTCGGCTCCCGCCCCCGGAGGCGCTGCCCATTGGCTGCTGGGTGCCTCCGTCTGGCTCTAATGACCGCGTACCCGAAAAGTTCCAGCCAATGACCTCTCTGCACCCGCCTCCTCCCCCGATCCTGGCCTCTGATTGGCTCCGGACACGTAAGCCCTGTTACCGGGTTCGGCGACCGGCAGATTCTACCTGGCCGGGGCGCACGACCGAGAAGAGACGCTGGTTCCCAGTCTAACGGAACCCGGCGCGGGGCGACGCCGGGTCACGTGGCCGGCGGCTCCATGACGTGCGGCCCGCGGGCCGTCACCGTGACGTGCCTGCGCCACCTGAGCGGCCGCGGTGCTGCCATGGACCTGGGGCCGATGCGCAAGAGTTACCGCGGGGACAGAGAGGTTGGCCATCCCAGCAGGGCACCCCGCAGGGCATGAAGGGGTCTGGGGGGCGGGGGAGATAAGGGGTGTCATGGGGGGCGGAGATAAGGGGGAGCTGGAGAAATTCCAGGGGGTTCTGGGGTTCCCCGTTTGGCGCAAGGACATCTAAGGGTTCCCCCCCGTGGAAGATGTAGGTTTACACAAGGGGGAGGGTGCTCAAGGCAGCCGTGGCATAATGATCAGGATGCGACCTCTGAACCTGCTTGGGTTAGAATGTTGTCATCTCTTGATTGGGTCACCTTGAACAATTTATTGCACGTGTCTGGGGCTCAGTTTCCTTGTCTGTAAAATGAGACCTGTTTCATGGAGATGTCATGTCCTTAGGTGTGTGCAAAGGGCTTGGAGCAGGGATAAGAATTTTACAGATGTTTGTACATAAAATATAGGGGAGGGGCTTCAGCCCACCGGAGAGGAGACCTGAAGGCTTAAAGTCCTTACTGCCTGTAGCAGGCCCCGTTTTTTTATAACACGTGGAGAAATTCTTTTCCGATTCCCTACTCTGGATAAAGCCCAAGAGAACTCTTATGGGGTCTGGGCCCTAGAACCTTGGTGGCAAAACTGGACCACATTTCTCAGACCTGCAAGGCTTGTTAAAAATGCAGTTCTCCCAGAAACCTCAGACCTGCTGAATGGGGCTCTGTGGGTGGTGGGGTGCCCAGGAATCTAATTTTCCGTTTTCAAGCCTCCCCAAGTGACTCTGATAGAGTGTTGATGCACATGAGATGAAGCCCTGCCCCGCGCCTCACCAGCTCTGTGACCTGCCCCTCACTAGTTGCCTTCTCTCCGCCTCAGTCACCTTACCCGTGAGATGGGGCTGGCAGAGCCTAGTCTGGGGGTTGGTTTTTGTTGAGGGGGCTAAATAAGTTACATTTGAAAAGTGTGCCGGCTAAGTGGTGTATGTATTTGAAATAAAAAAGAACATTCTCATCTCAGGCATTTGAGGAGTCCCACCTGGCTTCCCTGGACCCCATGAAGCAGTTTGCTGCCTGGTTCGAAGAAGCCGTCCGGTGCCCTGACATAGGAGAAGCCAATGCCATGTGTCTTGCGACCTGCACCAGGTAAGTCTGCCCTGGGCCCTGCCGGGGATGGATGCAGATGCCCTGGGAAATCCAGGAAGCGCTCAGGTGGTAGAGACCAGCTTCCTGTTTCCAGCTCTGTAGTTAGAGGCTTTGGGACCTCAGACAGGTCACTTCTCTTTGGATTCAGGGTAGCTCTCAACCGAAGACTGTTGAAAGTTAGCGGGGCAGCGAAAAAGAGGAAGGCCTTTGAGAAGATGGATTGACCGAGGGGCTCAAACATCTGGGGGACGGCGCGGCACGGGGCAGCGTCTGGTTCTGTTGCACATAGGGCCGCTGTGAGGGGGCACCGACTCGAGGGCACCTAGAACCAACAGCATGGGGCTCTCTAGGGGGGACCGATGAGGCAGGCTCTCCCCATAAAGATGGGCGGCCTCAGCCACCTCCGGGAGCAATTCTGCTCTGTCCTACACTCACCGGGCCTGCTAACCACAAGGCCACCATGAGTCAGGGTCAACCCGATGGTTGGTTTGGTTGAAGCTGAACAGGGAGCAGATCACCAGCAGTTCATTGGTCTTTCTTCTTGGGACGAATCACCCACCTTTTGGTTAAGTTCAAAGCTTTTAACCACAATGCCACCTGCATGAAACTCCTGGCCGGAAGCCAAGTGAGAGCATTGAAATGGCGCTTTGCTGTGTGCCTCTAGGGACGGGAAGCCCTCTGCCCGCATGCTACTGCTGAAGGGCTTCGGCGAGGATGGCTTCCGCTTCTTCACTAACTTTGAGAGTCGGAAAGGAAAAGAGCTGGTAAAATCCTTGCCCCGGGCCTACTCACATGGTCCAACCTGCCCCCCATCCTCCTCCGCCATCCACCTCCACCCATCCCTCCCACGCCCACTGGCTTCTAGTGCTTCAAGTTCCTCCCTTGGCTGTTCGCTTTGCCCAAAGGAATGCTCCCTCTTCCTCTTTTACCTGTTGACCTAATCAACTCTTTGCTCTGCCCCTTCTGCTGTTTACTGTCATTGTCGCTCAGGTGACTTTATTTCCCTGGCTTGCTTGTGACTGCCAACATTATGTGATTATCTGTTGAACTGAGGTTTCCCTTACATCCTGGGATATGGCATTGAGATTGGCTGCCTGGATCTTATCTCTGTTGTGTCCCCAGCACACGTCCTGGTGTCAGGCCCAGCACTGGCCCTGAGCGTGCATTCAATGGCAGTCCCAAACCCAAAGCCCTCCCTGAGACCAGGCTGCCCAAACAGATCTTTCTCCTGGCTCATGTATCCAGTGGTGGTGGAGGGGGTGGGGGGTGGGGGTGGGGCAGGGAGAGTGATGGCCCAGCCTTACTGTGGAGTCAGACTGACTGGGCTTTCTTTTTTTGTTTTTTTAAATCGTTTTATTAGGGGCTCACACAACTCTTATCACAATCCATGCATACACCAATTGTGTAAAGCGCATTTGTACATTCACTCCCCTCATCATTCTAAAGACATTTCCTCTCCATTTAAGCCCCCGCTGGCTGGGCTTTCAAAGGCAGCTCTGCCACTTACTGTGTGAACGTGGGCACATTGTCTAAGCTCTCTGAACCTCTCTCCGAGCCTGCCAAAGCCAGCCTGCCTGCCTTTGAGGCTTTAAATGAGCTGCTATAGTAAGTGCCCCGACGGCAGCTGCCTGCCTGCCAGACAGGTGCCTTCCTCCTGGCCTGGTGGCTCACGATGGGCTCTCTCCTGTCCCCAGGACTCTAACCCCTTTGCGTCCCTTGTCTTCTACTGGGAGCCTCTTAACCGCCAGGTGAGTGAGCCAGCCTGCGGTGGGCTGGGAGGGAAGGGCCTGGGCTCCTGGACGAGCTCAGGGAGGGGACCTCACGGCTGACCCCGACGTGTCAGAGAAGGACTCGGCTCCACGTGGCTCTCTGGGGCTGGTTGGGGGGAAGTAAGTTGCCAGGCCTTTTTTCGGAGGCATCTCTGTTAGCAGCTGAGTGAGCGCATTAACCACGTGCCTCACCCAGGGACGCCTTGCCTCTCCAGAGCAGCTCTCCATGCACCGGTCTGCTGGCACCAGGAGTGGAAGGTGGATGAGAGCAGAGAGGAGTGGAGCGTGGGGTGGCAAGGCTGCGAGGGGAGGGATGTGTGACCCGAACCGCATCTAGTCAGGGCTGCCCCTGAGCAGGTACGTGTGGAAGGGCCCGTGAAGAAGCTGCCCGAAGAGGATTCTGAGCAATACTTCCACTCCCGCCCCAAGAGCAGCCAGATTGGGGCCCTGGTCAGCCACCAGAGCTCCGTGATCCTCAACCGGGAGGTAGGAGGCCCCCCCAGTCTCTGCCGCCTGTCTCCCCCGGGGAGTGGGTGAGGGATCAGGGTAACAGGCCGCCTTTCAGACTCTGCTCCTGGAGGCCAGTCTGCTTGGCCCAGAGCACATGCCCGGTAAGTGGTCATTGACTGGATACACCCTGACTGGGGCTGGCCCTTCCTCCTGGACAGTATCTGAGAAAGAGGAATGAGGAGCTGGAGCTCCGCTACCAGGAGCAAGAGGTGCCGAAGCCCAGGCACTGGTGAGTGTACCTTGGCCTCGTCCGGAAGGGGCCCCAGCACCGCCCCCTCCCCCATGGACTGGATGACAAATCTGTCCAGACCCCCACCCTGCAACCCCGGGCAGAGGCCGTCCAGCACGCCCCTGAGGGTGGACCCTGGGAGTTGGGGTGGAGGGGCGTGCCTGACGGAAGCCCACAGAATGGAACCTGCTTTGCCCTCCTAGGGGCGGCTACGTCCTGTGCCCACAGGTGATGGAGTTCTGGCAAGGTCAAACCAACCGCCTGCACGACCGGATTGTCTTCCGACGACTTCTGCCAGGAGAGGCTCCTCTGGGGCCCATGAGCCACCGTGGGGAGGCAGGCTGGCTCTACGAGAGACTGGCACCTTGACTCTGGACTCTGCCAACGCACAGCCAGGGGTCCGGAGGGAGGGCAGGGCAGGGCACGGCCACAGGAGGCTATGGGATGGGGGGTCGGGACCCTCTGAAATCCACCTTTTCCCTCCCCACCCTTTGTCCCGCTGCTCCCAGTCAGCTGCCCTAGTGCAGGGTGACAGGTAATTACTTTTCTCCGCCTTGCCAAGCAGAGGCCTGGTGGCCTAGTGGTGACAGGTTGGGCTGCTCTCCTAAAGGTCAGCGGTTCAAAATCACCGTATGTTCTGTGGGAGAAAGGGGGCTTCCTACTCCCATCCCGAGTTACAGTCTCGGAACCCCAAGGGGCCAGTTCTGCTCTGTCCCCCACAGGGTCCCTGGGTGCCTGCCCTGCTCCCAAGGCAGTGAGGAAGCAAGCAAGGAAGGAAGGCAGGCAGGCAGGCTGACCCAGCATCCACTGGCTGGAACAGTGCCCCCCGGGGACAGCAGCTGGTGTGAGCGGCTTCTCTGGTGACACCTGTGCCCAGTCAGGCTAGCCACAGCCCGTTGGTCCCAGCCTAGGCACCGGCGTCAACCTGGCTAATCAGGTCTTCCTGTCACCATTTGAAATTTGGGACTTCGGCTTTGCAGTCTCCTTGAGGACAGCCAAGAAGCCGTAGGTGCCCGCTGGCTGCCATTGTGGGTGATCCCTCTCCCACCCCAGTGGCCCCCCACCCCTCCTGCTGCCTCAGAGCGCCCCTGGCCTCCCACAGGTTCTCATTTTGGCTCAAGCTAGCCGGAATCAATTTCTGTTTGATTGCAAGTGAAAAGACCTTAATTGATTCGTTGGCTGATAGGCTATTTAATTGGCCCGAGACTGCCTTCCATTACTGGTTGGATGCACAGATTAGACTGCTTTGTCCCAGAGCACCCACGGATGGAAGCTGTAGGGAAGTGGGCACCATCTCAAGGGGAGAAGCTTTAAACCCTCAGAGCTGCCCGAGAGAGAGGGAGGGGCTGTCCATCAAGAGGGCTGTCACTAGGGATACTGGGCCCGCCCAGGTAGAGTTTTGTTGAAGGCATGTCCGTGCTGGGTGCCCTACGGGCCAGGAAGGTTTTCATCAAGCTTTTATGTTTCCTGCTTGTTTACAGGAATTAACATACGTATGTACACCCCTGTCCATCTTGTTCCTGTCAAGACAATTCTGACCCCTAGTGGCCCCTTGGGACAGAGTTGCCCCATAGGCTTAAATCTTTATGGAAGCCCATTGCCAGGTGCCGCTGGGTGGGCTCCAACCAGCCCCCTTTTGGTCGGTAACCAAACGCTTCACCACAGAGCACCTGTGGAGAATTAAATTGTTGTAGCAATTAGATTAGGGCCCCTCAGACGATTGGCACCGCCAGCTCCCTCTGCCTGCCTCTGATGGCCACGGTGGTTTCAGCCTACATCAGATTCCTCTGGCCCAGGAAGAGTCCTGACGGCTGGCCCCCCCCTCCCCCACTTCACCTGCTCCCTGGGATATTCCCTAGTGCTGGGATTTCCCCCGCCCCCAGAGCCCCCAGGGAATTCTTGTGCTGCCACTTCGGTGCTTGCTACTCAGTGTATCCACAGGCCAACACCCGGGAGTCTGTGAGGGTATAGACCAAGTTCAGCTCTCCACTTCTACAAGGCCCCTAGGTGACTTGCCCAGTCACCTGCTGTGAGATTGTCCTACCCCGGCCCTGCCGGCTGAGGCCTCTGTTCTTGAGCCACACCTGGTGGCCAGGGACAGCCTGGAGGTGAGGCGAGCCGCTGCCGCTGTGTGGAGAGGCGCCTGGGCGGCAAATGTTTGTGGTGAGTAAGCCAGGATCCGAGGCGACTCCTCTGCACTGGTTGGCATTGAACTTGCTGTCTGTAAACTGTGCCTCATCTGACTGTGTGGGTGTGCTGACCCTGCCAGCACCCCCTGTGGCGGTCCCCACCCCCACTCAGCCTGGGTGCAAGCACCCTGCAGGTGAGGGGGCCAAGTGCCCTTGCCCTCCTTGTCTGTGTGTCCCTGCCCATCAGTGACTGTGCCAAGATGGTAATAAACATCTGTCAGCCGACCTGAGGTTCATGTTCAGTCTGGCCTGGGGAAGCGAGTGGACTGTGGCCTGGGTCTCCTGGGGCAGAGAGGGGACCCGGCCCCAGTCTCCACTCAGGGAGGCTGGGCCTCCAGCAGGGGGAGCCAGCTGCCCACAGGTGGCCTTCCTGGGCTGCAATGGCCAGTTCAGGCTGCCTCTGCGGCTCCCTTCCCCCCACCTTGGGTCGAGGCCCAGTGAAACTGTGGTCAATAACCCGTAGCCTTTCCCGGCGCCTGCACATAGCTGCACTCTCAGATCCTCCTCCTGAAACCTTGCCTCTGCCTCCGACTCCCCTTTCCGGGGCAGCCAAATGCGCCCACTCCCTCAGCTTTTATTTAAGTGCCTCCATCACTGACAGACAGTCTCCCCCAACTTGAGCAGGTGTCCTTGGGAGACTCCTGTGTGGAACTCTGGGCCCGCGGACCAGGCAGAGGGGCCCAGGACTGTCACCTAGGAGGAAGAACGGTGCCTGTGATATCATTGGGGCAGGTGGCCCAGGGCTTATTTTCCCCCCTCCCCCCAACTCCCCACAGCCTCAGAGAACCCCAACGAGATGGGCTGGAGCAGGGAGTTCCAAGAGGCCGGAGTCTCGGAGGACCGACACCTGACTCCACCCAGAGTGTCCTCCAGTGACCCAGACGTGGCCCTCGCATCCCCCCCTCCTCCTGCAGAAGGCCACTGTGCTCCCTGGTCCTGAGCCTCAGCGTCCCTCCCCCTGCGCGGATGAAGAGCTCTCTGTGCAGTGGTTGGTTACGTGCCTAGTGTAAGGGTTTTTGGGGCGCGAAGCGGAATTAAAGGTCCAATTGGTAAAGTTTTAGAAGCAGGCTTTATTGAGAAGCTTGCGGACGG